TTCTGCATAACAATAACACAATGACTTTCAAAGTTTCCTGTGGAATCTCCCTTGCACATTAACTCTATGGTCTTAAATTGATGTACCTTAAAGTGGTCAAGGCAGCAAAGGGCAGCAAAGAACAGAAGTCTCGTTCATAACTTTTCATGTATCCTTAAACTGCTTTAACTTCCTAAGGACAAATTATAGTTACGGGAATATGCAGGGCCTCAAACCATTGCTGCTATCTGTATATCATGAATCAATATGAGTTTTGAAGAGTAAACACATTCTTTATAAACAGTTGAAAAGAAACTATGCTGACAAGAGAGAGAAGGTTTTCCCTTGAATGTTATCAAAGGCAAATGGTATTGATGATACAGGATTTTGTACATTTACGTACTTTTAAAATTTAGAATAAAGAGACCAAAGGGTTGGACATTGAATTTCCAAATCTAAAATGTATAGACTTACTGGTACATGCCATAGAAGGTGGGTCTTTTTCGGCTCGGAAGTAACCCTTTTCACACTGACAGACAGAGGTTGCTTCCATGTAAGTCAAACTGTGTGGAGGGCATTTAGAACACTTTGTGTTCCCAGCAAATGCTTTATAGAATCCTGGTCTGCAAGCTGTAAAAACAGGAAAAATAATTTTTTAGGTTATTATTGCTACAGTTCTTTTATTTTGACATGTACAACATATTTTAATTTATGTACACTTTAGATCTCAGAGTTCAGTGTCACACATACACAGAGAAGTCAATATATAACACTGATAAATGAAATTAGTAATTCTAAGTTAGTAACACAACTATGACTTCATATTTTAACTGATGTCATTAATTTTTAAAAGCATACTTCAAGCATATATATACACACACATACACGCACACACAAAGTATCAGTGCTTTCCTAAATGTGGGATGTTCACAATTGGCAATAAGGGAGATGATTTTGTGTAGTTCTGGAGGATGGCATTAAATAACTGAACCATACTGTTCAAAATACATTTACATTCTACTTCTCTCTCATCCTTCTAGTACTCAAGAAGTGAATACCAGTCTGGTGCTGGTGTCTTAAATACCTTTCTTGGTGGCTAAATTTTCTTTTGTGCATTCTATAACTGTATTTTTTATAGTTTATGTTTGATTCTATAAGATTTTTTATAAACGATCTAGTAATTCATGAGAAGAAAATTTATTAATTCTGTAAGGTAAAATTACTATTAAGAAGTTGGTTATTCAATATTAATATCAACAGGAAGTGGTCGTACATGAATATAAAGTCTCTTCTCAAATTTGCTGATAAATTAATACTATATGGTTAATCA